CAGGGAGGCCCTGAAACACACTCCGGGCCCCCCCCATGTGGTCCAGCGTCACATGCTTTATCACTGTGCCACCACTTGGCCCCAGCTGTGGCTTTTTTTTTTTAAATGGTCAGAGGGTGTCCTGACCTGGGGGACAGTCGAACAGGTTTCCTGAGGGAAGGAGTGAGAGACAGGACGAACGACGCAGTGTCACAGCACAGAGATGACGCAGTGTTACAACTCTTCAGGGCCGTCCGGAGACGACGCGGTGTCATGGGTCTTCAGGGTCTTCAGGGTCATCTGGCGATTGTGGGCCAGGGATCGCGGTTATATACATGTTGGTGGGCTGTGATTGGTTAAATGAAGGATAGTAAAAAGGTGGGTTATGATTGGTTGCTTTTGTGGACCAATCATGAGGTGCCGGATATGCAAATCTGAGGGATTCTAAGCTTACCGATTTGCTATGGGAAGTGGCCAATCAGAGTATGGCTTTGAAGGTGAGGTTTTTTTTTTTTTTTTTTTTTGGGAGCGCGTGCGCTCGCCAGACAGACAGAGAGAGACATAGAGACAGAAAGCGAGAAATCACCCCCCAGGGAGGATGGTCACGCCGCAATCCTTTCTCCTCCATTCTCCTCTCGGGATCTTGGGCACGCACGCACACGCACCCGGCGTGAGTTTTAAGCCACCGGGTCCGGGACACGAACCGCGGTCGACTATGTGGGAGTCCAGCGACATAGCCATTACGCTAACTGCTGGTTCCCGAAGGTGAGATTTTTGAAGGGGAGCCAATTGTGGCCTTTGTAATTGTCTGCTCTCTGAGCCTAAGATGGCAATAGTAAGAGACTCATGAAAATGACCTTAGCAGACTCGCTGGTGTGCAGCCTCCCACAAGAGGGTGTGCGTGCTCGCTAGAGAGAGACACAGAGACAGAAGGAAAGGGAAAAATCCTCACCCTCTTTCCTCCATTTCTCCAATTCATCAGGACTTTGGGCACACATGCATATGTGCCCATTGTGTTTCCCCTGGACACAGGAGCCGAACCGCCGTTGGCCATATGGGATCCAGTGCCCTATGACCAGGACTAATGGCTGTGCTACGGGCCGGCCCTAAAACTCACATTATTTTAAGCTTAAATATAAATATTTTATACCTAAAACAGGATTTGTTGGGACCAGCAGATGGCATAGTGGTTACATTGCTGGACTCCCACGTAGTCGATACTGGCTTGAGTCCCGGAACTGGCAGTTTAAAACTCACATCGGGTGCATGTGCGTGCATGCTCAAGATCCTGAGAGAAGAATGGAGGAGAAGGGACTGTGACAGGGTCATCCCCCTGGGAGCTGATTTCTTGCTTTCTGTGTCTGTCTCTCTGGTGAGCACACGCGCCCTATAATAAAAACAAACAGAATTTGTTATAATTTTACTTCCCTGGTTTTAGTGGAGATAGAAATCATCAATAATATTTTCCAAATCCACTTCTGGAAAAAATAATCACTAACACTTTTCATAAATATGTGTGTATATAAGCACAGGTTTTCTTTTATTTTTTATAAAGAATTATTTATTTAATTTTATTGATTCATTCGTTTATTTTAATTTGATCGGAGAGGGACAGAGAGAGAGAGAGAAGCGAGAAAGCAAGTCGCCAGTTCCAGGACTTGAACCGTGGTCAACCGTGAAGGAGGGTCCGGTGCCTTAGCCACTACGCCAACTGCTAGTCCCCTAGGCACACATTTTCATGGGGGCAGTGGGGAGGAAGGTGCAGGGCTGAACCTAGGTCCTCATTACTCAGCAGACCAGGGTCTGCAAGCTGGGGGCCCAGAGTCGGGGTCTGGGTCTGCGGTCGACCAAGCACATGCAATGCTCCAAGGAGCCCGAACTGAGAGGGGCGTTGTATGGGCTGAGCCTGGAGGACCCATGGCCACTTGAGAGAGGTCCGGGAGGCAGACAGACACCTGGGGCTGGGCCGAAGGCCGGGCAAAGTGGCATCTGCAGTGTCCAGCGGAGGCTGCTGCTGTGAGACTAGGGGAATGAAGAGAGGAGATGGGGGCACCCTGGCTTGAGTGTGGGAGGAGCCCTGAGGTTAGGGGGCCCTGGGAGCTTAGAACCGGGAAAGAACGGGGCTCCAGTCTGTGCGGTAGGGTCCCTGCTGGGTGCTCTTGGGCCTGGTAGGGCTGGGCTGTTCATCTCTACCCAGGACCTGCTCCCTGGCAGCTTACTGGAGTGACAGAGGGGCTTAGCAGGCAGAGACAGGACAGGGGACGGGAGGAAGTGGAGGTGTTAGCCCTGCGAGGGAGGAAGCTGTCAGGAGGGGGTGAGCGATGGGACCATCCACATAGCTGCCTTGTCGTGGAAGGAAGAAAATGAGCTCCCAGCCTTCTGGGGCAGGGGACAGAGAAGAGCCCAGGCAGCATGGAGGCCTGGGTCCCGCCTCCAGGCAGTCCTCGCCCACACATGGTTCTGACCCCAGGTTCAGAACCAGCATCCCTGGGTCCTGGGGGCTGGGGACGCCGCCTGCTCCCAAGCTGCCCTGGCCATGGCCAACAAGCTGCGGGGCCCCTAGGCTCCCAGCATGAAGCCTCCCGAGCCGCACTCACGCCGTGTAATTACTCCCTGAGGAGTGGGGTCAATGGGTACCTGACGCCTGATTCATGCCCCGGGCAGGGGATCAGAGGGTCAGGGCAGCACAGTGCCCACACCCCAGGCCTAGAGGCGGGGCACTTACCATGGGCACCTTCAGCCAATGCCATCCCTGCCTGACCTACAACCTCAAGGTGCCCCTGAGGGCCCCCACGGCCTTCAGCTCTGGCTCTGGCAGGACTAACCTGGCCCAGCCACCGACCAGAGATTAGACAAGCCCGGTGGACGGTTAATGCGGCTGACGTCAGGGCCTGGCCGGGTGGCCGCTGGGGGTTTGGGCCCTCCCCATGGGCAGCAGACCAGCCCATGTGACCTGGGCTCATTAAGCCGCTTCAGTGGCCAGAGGAGCTGGGGGCCAGGTCTCAGGGGAGAGAGGGCGGGAGAACCAGGCCCGCGGGGCAGGCACCGGCTCTGGGGGCCCAGGCCGGGGAAGGGCTAGGAGGGCTGCCTGTAGGACCTGCTGTAGCCCACACCTAGTCTGCAGCACTGGACCTCTGCTCGCGCCCAAGAGGGGCCTCCCGGGCACCAAGCTGGGCAGGAGCTGTGGGCGTGGAGGTGAGAGCCACTGGCTCCTCTGAGGTCTTCATTCCCCCAAGTCCCTAGCCCCCTGCACGCAGCCCTCCGCCCCCCAGTGGAACCCACACTTCCCTCGGCCCAGCCGCCTCTTCCTTCCAGAGGGTCCTTCTCTTCCCCATGCTGTCTACACTTTCCTTCCCTGGCAGAGCCAGGCCCACAGGCTGTCTCTCCAGCAGGCCTTCTTTGACTCATGCCCCGCAGCCTGGCAGAAGCTTCCCCCTCCAGGCCACTGACAGGCAGCACTGGAGCCCCTGTGGTGGGGGAGCCCGGGCGGCCCCAGCCAGGGGCGAAAC